AGCGGTTGTGTCGGGAAGGTGAGCATCATAGAATGCCAATTTAATAGAAGAAAGTATTCTTGCATTGAGGGAGTACTTAAGTGAAGGCCCAATGTCCTTTGCAGATTACTTCTAGCCCTTTCCTCCCTCTTGTTGTTCTAGTTGTTATTTGTTGTATTCTGTGGATCAGGAAACCATAAAAGTAGCAGACGTTTTAGATTTACAGCTAAAGAGAAACAGAAGGTTGCGCGTGCGGTTTTCCACTCGAGTGCGTGTAGTCCGCACATTCAGGTGGCCCTCTCTCCCTGTCATGCAATTTCATGACGTGACTGTGGGCATAGTCACTTGGCCTTCAGTACAGATAGGAACTTGATAAATTGCTAATTTTCTATAGATTTAATCTAGGAAAGCATTCACATCTTGAGGTACAGTAAGAACATTGAATATGACTATATTTTCCTGTGTAATTGCTCTCGTCCTTTTCACTGTAGTTGAAGGAGCAGATTTTACAGGCTGAACAAAGCTACAGCTCTGCACTCGAGGGAATGAAGGTGGAGATTTCTCAGCTCACTCGGGAGCTGCATCAGCGAGACATCACCATTGCTTCTGCCAAAGGTTCTTCTTTAGACATGGAAAAGCGACTCCAAGCTGAGATACAGAAAGCAGAGGAAAAAGCAGTGGAGCACCAGGTGAAGCAGAGCAAGAACGCTTTTATTTCCTTTTGCCCGTGTAAGCTGTTCATTGGTGCATCTTTTTCTTACCAGTCTTCCTGACATCGAATTCACACATCACACCAGTCAGTAGTCCAGTCACATCCAGGAGAGTTGTACAATCGTTACCACAATCAATTTTAAAACATTGTCTTCATTCTTGCACTCATCATTATTAGCTGCTCATTTTCCCATACCCTCTGTATCCTGCTCCCCCCCCCGCCCCCAGCACAACAACTCACTGCCACCTAGTAGTCCATTCTGACTCCTGGCGACCCTCTACGACAGGTAGCACTGTCCCTGTGGGGTTCCGAGACGCCAGCCCCTACAGGAGTGGAAGGCCTTGTTGTTCTCTCAGGGAGTGCTGGTGGTTTCAAACTGCTGCTGCTTAGCAGCCCCAGAGTGAGCCACTGTGCCACCAGGGCACCTTCCCATGCTTCCAGGTAATGAACCATTAACTCAACTACTATCTCTATGGACTTACCAATCCTGAATTTCGTGTACAGATAAACATAAAAAGAAACTTTAACAACAATAACAAAATAAAACATATAGAACCCTCAATTGAGAAGAAAGCATAAAATATTAAAAACTAGAACAAATTTAAAGTGGATCACGAGGGAGATAAAATGATAAGGCATTAAATTTAACTTAACTACACTTTTCAATGCATTCTGCCTTATGGCAAGGCTGCTCACATCCCTGGTCCGTGGCCAGAGGAAGTCACCAGAGGCTTAATCCTTGTGTATTTTCCTTTCACTTTTTTTTAAACTGAAACATTAAAATAGGTTAAAAGGCTTTGGGCCTCTACTCAAAGCCTCCCTAAACACAGGAACACTTTGCTCTAATAACCTGGCACTCTTTGATACCTTCCCAACATGATCGCTGACGACAAAATGGGTGCAGAAGCAAATGTGAAGAAAGCTGATGGTGCCTGGCTATCTAAAGATATAGCATCTGGGGTCTTAAAGGCTCGAAATGAAACAAGCAGCCATCTCTCAGGGAAACAAATAGGCCCACATAGAAGTAGCACACCAGCCTGTGTGATCATGAAGTGTTGACAGGATCAGATGGGTAGGAAAGAGGGAACCGATTACAAGGAACTATATGTGACCTCCTCCCTGGGGGACAGACAACCAAAAAGTGGGTGAAGGGAGATGTCGGACAGGGCAAGATATGACAAAATACCAATTTATAAACTATCAAGGGCTCATGAGGGAGCGGGGAGCGGGGAGGGAGGGGAAAAATGAGGACCTAATGTCGGGGGTTTAAGTGGAGAGAAAATGTTTTGAGAATGATGTACAAATGCGCTTTACACAATTGATGTGTGTATGGATTGCGATAACAGTTGTATGAGCCCCTAAAAAAAAAAAAAAATCTAAAACAAATGATTATATCAATGTGAAAGAGAGGGGTTGGAATGAAGACCCAAAGCCCATCTATAGACAATTGGACATCCTCCCACAGAAGGGTTACAAGGCAGGGATGATTCAGTGAGGGTGCAGTATATCACTGATGAAACACACATCATTCCTATAGTTTCTGAATGCTTCCCCCACCACTGCCTTGACCCAGTTCTACCTTACAAATACAGCTAGACTGGAGTACACACATTGGTACAGATAAGAGCTGTCAACATAATGGAATTCAGGACAGATAGAACCCTCAGGAGCAGTAGTGGGAGTAGCGATATCAGGAGGGTAGGAGGGTGGGGAGGGGGTGAGGAAGGGGGAGAAAGGGGGAACCCATCACAAAGTTAGATATATAGCCCACCCGCCAAGGGGACATATAACAGAAATGTGGGTGAAAGGAGACAATGGACAATATAAGACACAAAATAGTAAGAATATATAATTGATCAAGGATTTACGAGGGTGGGGAAGGGAGGGGAAAAATAAAGCTGATACCAAGGGCTCAAGTAGAAAGAAACTCTTTTGGAAATGTTGATGGCAAATATATACAAGTGTGCTTAATACAACTGAATGATGGATTGTTATAAGAGCCCCCCACCAATAAAATGATTAATAAAAAATAAAATAGGTCAAAAGGGAGAACAAGTAATATATTACACTTTTACCTAGTTCCATCTGCCATAATCGACTTTCCAGTGCTCTGTCTGATAACAAGGCTCTTCATTCACAGCCCTCAGCTAGGACCAGAGGGATTCTGCAAGGCTTAATCCTTGTGTGAACCCAGCAAATGGGTTTTGGGTTCTCACTGCCTTGTGTAGCTTCCTATAAACCAGGTGTTCACAGTTTAAGCTCAGATACCATTTCTTTAGATTTGAATTTATTACTTACAATCCTTAGATCACACAGGCTGATGTGCGTCTTCCATGTAAACTTGGTTGACACTTCGACTTAGATGAGTACTTGTTTTAAGTCAAGCCTTTAAGACCCCAGACACTGTTCCTTCTGATCGTTGGGAGCCATGTAGTTTCTTCACCACAATTTGCTAATTACCTCTGTTGATCTGTTTGTGAGGGCAAGCATTAAGCAGGGCTATGTCATAATAGCTGATTGTTTTTAGACTGGAGCTAGAATTAAGTGTAAGCCTAAAATCCATTCATGCATCTGTGGTTTATATATGTCTCAGGTTCACCTTAGCTACAGCATTGTCATTTTATGTTGGAGTGCATTATGAGTCAGCCCTTGGGGCCTCACTTCCCTGTCATCAAGTCATTGCTGACTCACAACGACCCTATAGGACAGGGAAGAATACTTCTAATTTGCAAGTTATTTTTTAAAGTTTTGAAGATTAGCTTTATTAAAGATACAATTTTTTAAAGATACAATTTTCCAAGTTTTCATCATAATAAAAGGAGCCCTGGTGTCATAGTGGTTAGCATTAGGCTGCTAACTGCAGGGTCAGCAATTCAGAAACCATCGACTGTTCTGGGGGAGAAAGATGAGGCTTTGTACTCCCATAAACTGTACAATCTCAGAAATTCACAGGATCGATGTGAGCCGACACCGACTCAATGGCAGTGAAGTTTTTTTTTTAATCGTAGTAAATCTTTAATTAGATACCTGTTTGGGGATGAGAACCTTGTGAGTAATAAGCATTCTAGTGAAGGTTGCTAGGGAAGTGTGAGAGTAGATGCAGCCGAAGAGACTGTCTCAGTAGTAAAGTATGTGGTCAGAGGCAACAGGGAGCCCTCTAACAAAGTCAGATACAGACCTCTCTTTTAAGAGGCTTCCAGAGGCCCCATGTCCAAGTGGAGCCCTGATTGTTGTTAGCGGAGGTGAGGCAAGACTAGGGAGAACGCACACAGAGGTCTCTAAGAGAGAGCGTGCTGTGTCTGCTGCTGCGGAGTCTGGATCACCAGTATGGCCAGTGGCAAGAGATGAACCACGAGAGGCAAGCAGGGGCTAGCTCCCAAAGGGTCTGACCAGGGTGTTAAGGGTGTTGAGGTCAGTAGAGAGTGCAAGAGTGGAAGACCTCTGTGGGATAGTATGAGGGCAGTGGCGGGGGAGGCAGAGTCCACTCATTTGTTGTGACAGCAGTAGTCAAGGGAGGTACCAAGAAACAAATTAATTCTAGAGATATTTGGCTGGTAAAATTGACTCGACTTTGTGTCTCATTGTACAGGGAAGGTGATGTAGATGGAGTTAAGAAACGATATCAGGATTCAAGCTTGAGTAGCTGAGAGGAAAGTGATGCTCTGTAGTGACGTCCAGACAAAATAGAGAACACATTGGAGGGGAGGATAATGAATGTGTGTCATTATAGATAACCACCACACATTTTATGACTTAAAACAATAGAAAGTTATTGTCTTAACAGTGCTAGAGTCTAGAAGTCTGGATTCATGGTGTCAGTAGGGCCTCTCTCTCTCTCTCTCAAGTGGAATATCTTTCTGGTCTTTCCAAGCTTTGGGTGGCTCTCGGTGTTCCTTAGCTGTGGCAGCATAATGCAATTTCTGCCTCTGCCTCCATATGGCTGGGTTTTCTTTGTATCTCTATTTTATGAGCGCGTACGTCATACTAGATTAGAGCTACTCTGTTCTTCATGTTACGGCCTAAGTTAACTGATTACATCTAAAGACACTATATCCAAATAAGAGCACATTCCCTGGTGCCAGAGAAGGACTTGAACATGTCTTTTTGGGTGGACCCAAACTAATCCACAACAGTATGAAAAGTAGACAAGACTGCTGGCAGACGGGACAGTGGTTTTGAGATAAAAGCTGGGCTTTCATATGGAAATGCCTGGCCATGAATTCTACAGAGGCATGGGGCTTAAGATTAAATCAGCATCAGCTATCTGGCTGTGAGAGTCCATACTCAAGCTTGTATTTGAATCTCCTTAGGAGGCCCAGAAGGAGCCCTGGTGATGTAGTTATGCACAGTCAGAAGTTCAAAACCACCAACCACTGCAATGGAGAAAGATGAGGCTTTCTACTCCCATAAATAGTTACAGTCATGGAAACCTTAGAGCTGTTCTACTCTGTCCTGTGAGTTAAGACTCGCTGTGAGTCAACATTGACTCGACGGCAGTGAGGGAGTTGGGAGGGAGAGGCCCTCTACATTATGTGGAGGAAGTATAGAGTGTGAAAAGCAGAAACATGCAACCAGCTTAGGATACAACCATTCGTGGTGGAAACGGGAGGGAGGATGGAGTTGGACAAAGTAGCCCGGAGAACAGGTGGAACACTAGACAGTGTCCTCAAAGGAAGCAGGACTGGGAAAGGAAGCAGGACTGGGGAACCTTTCAAGTGGGAATGCTGAAGCAGACAAGCTAGGGAGAGTAGGACTGAAAATGGGTGCTTATTTGGTGGGGGTGTAACTCTACATCTGGCTGCAGGTAGAAGCCACGTTAGAGGAGTGACATAGCGAGTGGTCGGGGCTCCCCTCAGCCCGAAGTGCTGCTCCTCGGGGCTGGTTTATCGTCTGTGTGTGGACAGCAGCTTGTTTTGTTTTTATCTTTCTACAAAGTACTTATATATATGATGAATGAAGCTGGAACTTTGTGACAATTACACGAGGAAGATTTTTGCAAGGTGCTCTTGATTTCTTTGCCGTAGTTGTTCATTTGCTCTTTCTGCTCGTCTGCTCCCAGGAGATTTTGGATCAGCTGGAGTCACTCAAGTCGGAAAACCGCCAGCTTTCGGAAACCGTGAGGACATTGGAATTGGGTCTGCATGAGGTGTGTGAAGAGCCGCGTAAGCTTTTCCACTGTCCAGGCCGCGAACAAGGCATTCTGTAGAGAAAAGTAGGATCCAACCAGTGGGAGGATCCTTGTGCACACACTCTTCAGTGTTTGGGGTATTGGGGCAGCGGACCAAATGGGGCTCAGTAGGCTGGTGCTTTTCCCATTACATGAGTGATAAAATGCAGGCGGCAGGTGGTGTTCTGAGTGGACAATGTGTGTAGAGGCCTTGACATAGT